GGGCACGAACACTTGTTCCCCCGCACCCGTTGCGAACTTCACCACTGTGGTGTGCGCCCGGTTGTCTTCGGCCGGGCTCACCCACCTCCATTCCCAACCGGGATGTTTTGAAATGGACTTTCGGCGATTTGGCTACAACCGGCTTCCTCATGTGTTGCTCGGAGCCATCAAAGGGCCCCAAGGTGTCCGGCTCAGCCGAACTCAAACACAGTGCTTTCTGATCTGGTGCAGAGAGCAAACTTCAAACCAGTCAGGTTCCTTTCCTCATGACTCCGGCAACAGCAGGCTCAGAGGATGAGCACGAGCCAGGCCGTGCCTCAGTTTCCCATTTGGTTTCCTCCCTGTAGGGAGCATTAAAGCTTCCTCATGGGGAAGAAATGGAGGTAGTGACAGATTTTATCTTCCTGGGCTCCAAGATCACCGCAGATGGGGACTGCAGCCAAGAAATTAGAAGACGCTCCTGGGAAGGAAAGCCATGGCAAATCTAGACAGCATACTAAAAAGCAGAGACATCACCCTGCCAACAAAAGTGCGTATAGTCAAGGCCATGGTTTTCCCAGTTGCAACGTATGGCTGTGAAAGTGGGACCATAAGAAAGGCTGAGAAAGGCCAAAGAATTGAGCCCTTTGAACTCTGGTGCTGGAGAAAACTCCTGCGAGTCCCCTGGACTGCAAGGTGATCAAACCGGTCAGTCCTAGAGGAGATCAACTCCGACTGCTCCTTAGAAGGCCAGATCCTGAAGTTGAAACTCAAGTACTTTGGCCACCTAATGAGCAGGAAGGACTCCCTGGAGAAGAGCCTGATGCTGGGAAAGATGGAGGGCAAGAGAAGAAGGGGATGACAGAGGATGAGGTGGCTGGATGGAGTCCCTGAAGCAGGAGGCGTGAGCTTAAATGGACTCTAGAAGATGGCAGAGGACAGGAAGGCCTGGAGGAACATTTTCCATAGGGTCACGATGGGTCGGACACGACTTCGCAACTAACAACAACATTATCTATCTATCTATCTATCTATCTATCTATCTATCTATCTATCTATCTATCTATCTATCTATCTATCTATCTATCTATCTATCTATCTATCTATGTTTATCCATTTGAAGTCACTCAGGTTGAGGAGCCCTGGGTTAGTCTGATTGCAACCAATCCATATCTCGCCCCATTTGCATTAAAATAAGGCAGCTGTGGTGAAGAAAAGCAGACATTTCTTAAATTGTGCCCACACACCAAATATGCATATCTATAAAGATCTGCTAGTTGATTGAATCACAGGACAACTTTTTAAAATACAGAATAACAGAGTTGGAAGGGACCCTGGAGGTCATCTAGGCCACCCCCTGCTCAAGAAGGAGACCCTATATACCATTTCGGACAAGTGGCTGTCCAGTCTCTTCTTAAAAACTTCCAGTGTTGGAGCATTCACCGCTTCTGGAGGCAGGTTGTTCCACTGGTTAATTGTTCTAACTGTCAGGAAATTTCTCCTTAGTTCCAGGTTGCTTCTCTCCTTGATGAGTTTCCACCCGTTGCTTCTTGTCCGGCCTTCAGGGGCTTTGGAGAAGAGGGTTACACGCCCCGTGTCTTGCCTGGGAAACTGAGGGCTTGACTGGGGGATTCTGGGAGTTGCAGTCCATCCATTTGAAGTCACTCAGGTTGAGGAGCACTGAGTTAGTCTGATTGCAACCGATCCATATCTGGGTGTATTTGCATTAAAATAAGGCAGCTGTGGTGAAGAAAAGCAGACATTTCTTAAATTGTGCCCACACACTGAATATGCATATCTATAGAGAAACATCTGCTGGTGGATTGAATGGTGGGACAACTTTTTAAATCTTTTAAAGGGACAATTCAGAGGGACCAAAAGCAACTTTCCATATGTAGGAGAAGAGTTGGAAGGTGGAGTTAAACATATAATCAGTTTGGAACTATTGCTTTGTCACAAGACACACAAGCCCAGCCCCGCCCTTTAATTTTATTGACCCTTATCTAGCACCAATTTGGTGCTGACCGTTAATTAACCAGATTTTTGCCTCTAGACGGTAATAATGAATCTGTGATTGAGACTTTAGAAAGAGTGCAGAAAAGACCGACAAAGATTAGGGAGCTGGAGGCTAAAACACACAAAGAACAGTTGCAGGAATTGGGTATGTCTAGTCTAGTGAAAAAGAAGGACCACGGGTGACATGATAGCAGCGTTGTAGTATTTGAGGGGCTGTCACAGAGAAGAAGGGGGAGGGGGTCCACCTCTTCTCCAAAGCACCTGAAGGCAGGACAAGAAGCAACGGATGGAAACCAATCAAGGAGAGAAGCAACCTGGTGGGATGGTGGGGTAATGGAAGGATTTATACTCCTTGCAGACAGCTTATCTTATCTTATCTTCTTATCTTAATTTAATTTGTATACCGCCCTTCTCCCGTAGGACTCAGGGCGGTTCACAGCATATTAAAAACACAAATACAATATACAGGATACAAAGAAAGTCATACAAAAATACACAAAATAACCCCACTAAAACCTAATTAAAAGCCAAATATTGATTGCTGTGTTCCCATTAAAATTACTTTTTAAAAACGTCCCTACCTAA